ATAGACTTCTTGGACAGCGTGCCCCCTTTCTTCATTAAAATGAATAACGCCGCATCCTGGGCTTGGCGCCAATGCCCTCTAATTGGAGGCAGCAGTTTGGGCTCTGTGCGGTAACTATGGTTCATTCATTGTGCGGATCTGGCGGTCCAGCACTCACCATGAGGCGCGTGCCAGTGCCGGGATGCCAGCCAGTAATATTCAGCATAAACACGCAATGCGAGCGACTAGAAGCCGAGTTCATCGCTGTCGCCACGACTGCGCGCGCCTCCGAAGCCTGGCGAACTAAATCCGTCGCGCCCTGCATGTCGGTGACCTGGACTGACTTCGCACCTGGAGGGGCACAACGACCACAGAGAAGGACATGTCGCGTGACGTGTCTTTCGAAATTGATGGAAAAGCAGGCGAAAATGTTGTATGCAATGCGCTAGCTGGTAAGGAGGCATGTAGCGGGGTACTGAGGGTTCGGTAAGCCCCGTAAACGAGCACCCACACACCTAATACGGTTGTATGTCCCCCGTGGGCGTCATGCTTGATGGCGTTGTTGTCTTGGATGGTAGCGCCCTGGGCCAGCAGGTCTCGAAGCGTCTGGTTGTATACCTCGATGAAGGATGCATGCATGGTGTAGCCCCATTCCGCCTCCTCCTCCAGCTTGCGTGCGTTTGAGAGTATCTGGCTTGGGATGAAACAACGTGTGGGTGATGCGCGGGATCTAACCACCGGGTAAGGCAGGAACGACTGTGAAGGACACAGTTGCACACTGAACACTCCTCGGGTATTAAAAAAATAAACCCACGTCATGACTTACGACAGGCAGCACCTAGATGGATGCAACCGCCGCGGCGCCATGCAGGTCAAAGCCCGCACAAAATAAATGGCTGGAAGAAGCCTCCTCCGAAAGCAGAGCGCCATTACTAGTGCTAACGCTACTGCACCTCAATGTTCCATTCGCACACCTTCTCCAGCGCCCGTGGGATGATACCTCGCGAGGTTGCCGTGTTGCCACCCTGCATGGTATGCGTCTTGCCCGCACCGGTCTGGCCGTAGCTGAAGACACAGACATGGTACCCGTCTAGCGCGCTCTGCACAAGCTCTGATACTGAGCCAAACACCTCTTCTTGCGTGCTGTCCGGTCCAAAGACACGGTCGTAGCTAAAGCTGTGCTCGCGGCCCTCCACCGCCACTGCAATGGATGCCCCGTCCGTGCCCAGGCGCGTGGCAGGCGTGGGGTGAGGCTTCACGCGACAGTACACACGGACCTGTTGAAATCAGTAGACACAAAAGAAACATTAATTGCGTGATGCTGCACGAGTGATCGCCTAGGGCTTACTGAAGGAACTCGTCCTTGGAGGTACGGCTCGCGTGATTTACTAGCAAAGCAAGGGGCCGCTGAAGCTACGACAGGCAGGGCTTCGGACGGCACATGCACATGTCCGCTCGAGTGTACTCACATTTCCCCGAATGTCCACGAGCTCGTTGTGTAGCCGTCGCCGGATAGACTCGGCCGCCACGGCGGCGTGCTGTGTAGTTGTACAGTGAAAGAAACCAGGGCAAGAATCGTCATTGTCGAGCACGGAAAGGTAGGTAAAGGCTCGCAGGTGCTTCTAAAAAGGAAAGGCGATGGGTTCACGAAGCGACTTTGGGGTCGCACCTGCAGTGAGGCGATTTTTGACAAAAGCTTGGTGACGATCTCCTTGCCGCTCTCGCCTTCTGCAGATGTGCTATCGCCGAGCGCCTCCTTCAACGCCGCGAATTCGCCTGTGCAAAGTGTACCAGTAACATGTCGCACGTAACACTTCAGCAAAATCGGTGTCACCAAGCCACAGCCTTGGTGAAACCTATATGAAGGCGCCGACGACATGACAGCATATCATGCATGCATCTGCATTCCACTCGCCAGCACGCCTCGCATATCCCCAAGGCACATCAAACAATACACAGCATTCGACCAACCATGCCGACCCAACAATGCTCAACGCACGCTGCGGAGCCTTACCCTCCAGCTGTTCCAGCCGGGCGTTCTTCTCCCGTATAAGTTCCCTGCTCGCCTCCATTTCACCGTGGAGGGTCTCCAACTGGCCACGCTGAGCACTGGCCTGCTGCTCCAACTGTGCCGCCCGGCCCTCGGTGAACTCCAACTACGCGCGTGCAAGGGTCGGGACAGTGAACTCCGTTGAAAACAACCGCCGAAGGCGGACACTGCGTTGGATGCTGTTGTGTGTGTCGGCATGCGCACAAGGTTGTTACGGCCCCGCTCCTGATCGGCGTAACATTTGTAAGATACGTAAGGCTTATGATGTCGGTGCTTATGATGTCGGTACTGAGATCCTGACTACGAGAAGTCGCAAGTATGCACCGGATGCATACGCCAAGCAGACCTGGTGTTTGACGTTAGTGAACTCGCGCATAAGCGCCGCCTTGTCTATCGCCAAGTGCGCGGCACTGTTCTCCGCGGCTTCCTTCTGCGCGGTCAGTGTGCTGAGAGCTGCTTTGAGCTCCGTTATCTGAACCGCCAGAGAAGATGCTTGTTCAGCCGCTGCCGAACGCGCCGCCTGAGGAGTTGAAAGGGAGAAAAAAGATTAAGGGGCGTAGCTAACGCCTGGGAAAAGCGAAAAACCTTCGCGCCCAAACGGCTGAAATCCCAGTGCCCTCATCATCGAAACGTTAGCATAACATGCAAGGCAACCGGGCAGAGGCAAATGCATCCACAGTTGACGAAGCGAGCAACGTTCCTTAGGAGCTGCTCTGCAGCCCAGCTTTATAACTCCTTCCAACCAGAATAACTATCGGTAAATACGCGTGCACTCTCTGTCACACATTGGCCCTCTTCTTTGGGCCCGTCATCACCTCCAGCCGCAGTCGCATTTCGTTCCAGGTTATCCGGTCCTGCGACAAGGTAGACTCCAACAATTTGGCACGGCCCCGCTGATTCTCGAGTTCCACTGCCTGCTCTTCCAAGAAGGCCCCCAACGTGCTGCGCTCCGTGCAGCTGCGCTGCAGCTCATGGGCCAGTCGTTCTTCATTCTGCTTGGCGGCGGCAAGCAGCTGCCGCTCATGCGCCAGCTGATCCTTAAGCTGCACGCGGAGGAAGTGGAACGAGAAGCGTCATGCCAAGCGCGGAAGGGGCACCCAAGGGGCTGTGGAATACCCAAAACGTACGCGTAAGACAGTGGAACAATTCACTCATCGTACGAGTACAGGGTTACCTTCCGTTCATCTGAGAACATAAAAGCATTATGGGCTTCTAGCTTCAGTTTACACATGCGACTCTGCCGGCGGCTTGCATACATGTTGGCTTATCCCGCAACAACTCACCGTGGAGCCTTAGCCGGCTTTGTGTGCTCCAATTGAGCGAGGCAGGGCCACGTCTTAACCTACAGAGCCTACGTGCCATCCTCACTACCCACACCACATTACGTATTGATTTCGCGGACTTCTCACCCAGCTCTGCCACCTTCCACCTCCACCTCATACGGCATGTACAGAAGATGATGCATAATGCACACACACACATACCTTCTGCCGAGTTGTGTTTCATTTCACGGGCGAACCCAGGGCTCGAAAAGGCACATTCATTCAAATACATCTAGGCACATCAAACGGTTTACCTTCGCAGCCTGATCTTGGTGCAGCATAAGGAGCGACTCCTTGCTGGCTAGCTTGCCTTCGCAGTCACGAAGGCTATCCCGCAGGAGCCGATTCTCGTCCTCGAGAGCCGCGACAGTGTCATGCACGCTCTCCATCCTAGTTGTTAATCGCTCGTGCTCCTCCTGGCCAGGCAAGGACAAGATAAGCAACACAAAGCGAAACCTTACAACTTCGACAGGCATAGTACGGTGTAATAGTACGTTGTTCGCTCCAGCGCCCAGCCTTGCCAACGCACGTCGGACGACGGCCAACTTACCCGGAGGCTTTTGAGCTTGTTTTCCAACATGGCCTTATCGTCCGTCAACGACCGCACCGCGTTGTTTTGGCTGACGGAAATCTCCCGCTGCTGCTGGCTTGAGGCTTTCTTGAGCTCCTGCAAAGGGGCAATGCATGAAACATTGCACAGTCCACGATTAGGCGCGAAAAATTGAGGTCATCAATCATGTTGCGGTCCGACAGCAAAGATGTGCAATGTGCTTTGGTTAGTAAACGATACCAGATACCACACATGAAGGCTTAGTTGTGCGCGGTTCTGGCTCCGCGTTATAAAGCAAGCATAGAAAGACACCTATCCTATCCTAGGAAGATCCCCAAGGCGGACCTTTAGCTCATGCTGCAGCTCCTGCCGGTCCCTGTCAGCTTTTGCGGCCTCCTCTCGTGCACGATTCCGCTCCTCCAACAGGCGCTCAAGGTCACGCGTAAGTCGGTTAACCTGCACCGTACCATCGCAGCTGATGCCTTAGGTTTTGCATGGTGCGTCCCGTGAGAGATCTCCACAGGCAGTCGGCTTAGGGTTTGCCCTACCCATCAGGCTCCTGGACCACCGGTGCCTAGCGTACCTCGGCTTTCTGCTCTTCCAAGGTCAAGCCCAGTACGGCCTTCCCGTTCCTGCATTAACGTAAACGAAAACGCCACGAAAACGTTGTGGTTGAAGACCGTGTAAGCAGAATACAGGATGGCAGGGTTTACCAAGTACGACACATAAAATCCAGAAGCCCCTGCCTACTTGAAATCCTGCTCAGCGCACGCCAGCTTTGCACGCATAGTGGCCAACTCAGCCTCCGCTTGCTTCAGCGTGCTCAGGGACGAGAGGCGGCTGCTCTCAACCTGCGCAAAAACACCACACGCGTCGGTCGATGCCGTGCAGTGACAAACCCACGAAAGCAAAAGGTGCAAGGCATCTCCGTGATAAACACCCAGCACGGTCGCAGAGAGCCAGGCCACGGGAAGCTGGCAAACGGTGGCGATTTCCAGTGCTCCATGCGCGTTCGTGTCGAAGAAACTGACCTCCTGCGTGCACTCCCGTTCAAACGCGGCGCATTTGTCGATGTATATCGTAGCCCGGGAGCCCATTTCCTTGAGGCACTTGCGAAGCTGCTTGACCAGCTCTGCATAAGGTTAAGAAATGGATTCAAGACGCATTTAAAGCCTAAGAATGATAAGTTTGCACTTGTGCGAGTTCCCAGGTCGGTTCTTGACCCTGCCAAAGCAGCCGTGGACGCTACCTGCAAGCTCCTGAATCCTCGACTTGTCCGTAGCCCCATCCTTGGTCCTCTGAAGCTGCTTTGTAAGGCCCTCAGTGCAGTGCTGCTTAAATGTGGGCTCCTCAAACGCCTCCAGTGCAGCCCTCGCAGCCCTGGTGTTGGCCAAATTACCGGCAGGCATCTTGATCAAGCCCTCCTTGCTGGCAAGGGCGCCAAGCCCCATGTCATCATCTGCCCAAACTCCAGCATTTTGAGCTTGTGTCACTCCGCTGAGCTGCTGCGATGATGCGGGTTGCGCTCCGAACTCCAGGGGTCGCCAGGCCCCTTCTGCTGCCTCCAAAGACCCCAGCCCAGACACCCCGCTAGGCAGAACAGGTGGCACCTCCTGCTGTGGCAGTGTTTGCAACGGTGCCGGTGCCACACCGCGACCTGCCAATGAGTTCCTTCGCGTCGGGTTTTGAGTGAAAGTGAAATGTTCGCCCTGCAGGCTAGAGAACTTGCTCTGGAGAGCTTCAAGGCCAGGTGCTTCTGCCTTCCGCAAAATGCTGCGTCCTGGTTGGCGGTCTTTCATATATCCGAGTTTTCCAAAAGAGCCTCCGTCAACAGGCAGGCTGTTCTCTTTGCTCGCATGGGGACGGTCAGGTTGTTGGTCACCTTTCTTGCCAAACGAGTCCATGTCTGAGGGAGGTCTCGGCGCGTTAGCCAAGTTAGAATGCTGGCTACCGAGCGGCTGCAAAAGCCTGCCAAAACTGGGCAGCTGTTGCCTGTCCATTTTGCGTTTCAATTTGCGTAGGGCACGGACAAATGCTCAACCCCCATTTATGTGGTGGTAACTAGACGTGGCAGAAGTCACAAGCTTCATAGGGCATTTGCATGCAATAAACGACTTAACCTCGTTCAGGCACCGCTGCACGACAAGTTCAACTTTATGGACGAAGCACCTGAATGAATAATCGTAGCTTTTCACCTTTGCATCAACACCCAATACGTATGCTTTAGGAACCAAGTTACTGTTGATTATAAAGTTGCAGAGTCAACTTTCGACCAAACTCAAGCACTGCAGTGTGCTTGAGTCACAACAGGTCATTCTTTTGTTAATATGTTCTTCGCAATATAAGCTTTAGGTGAAGGTCGTTACATGCCGTGAGGCCGTGGGGCTTTCAACTTGCGGAGGATGTCTTGAATTGAGACCTGAGACCCTCGGGATGAAAAAGGCCTGCGGATGGCCATTCCCACATCTTACGCTTACGCTGTTCCACCTTGCCGAGCACCACGCACACACGTATCCTTATGTAAGGGCCTGTGCAACGTCTGGAGGTGTGTCTGAGTCTATCAGAGTCCCATACACGTGGGGGGCTCACACCGAGAAAGGGAATTTACGCGAACTCCGTCATAAGTCCTTTCAGCCACTGTCAAAATCGTCATCAAAAGCGTCGTACTGGTACCCATCATCGTCCGCCAAGTCAACAACCTCACTGGACACTTGCCGGTCAGGTCCAGCGCTGCTGTATTTGCCTTCAGCCACTTTGGCGGTCACACCCCTTGCCGCCTCCTCGGGTCCAAACACAGACTCGTCATAGCCCCTCACGGTCAGCCCGCTGGCCAGGAAAAGATACAGTTGGCCCACAAACGTCAGACTGTCTTTCTCGACGAGGAAAGACGATATCTCGCGTGCCATAGCATTCTCGAAATCCTGTGAAGAGGGGTAGGAGCAACGAAAGTGAGGAAGGGTGAACCACGAGGAGGGAAGGCGTAGCATGTCGTTTTATACAAACACGCCGCAGTACAACTTGGCGGTTCCAAATGTTGCCAATGCTCCCTTACTTCTGTCCTACCTGTCGCGACGGCAGGCTGGGTGTCATTGTTGCCGTACGTGCTCGCTTAGCTGACGCCGGCACGTACCTGCGGGATTGGGAAAGGAGGGGGAGCCAACATCCCCCAAACGGGCCTGGCTATGGTGTGTGCTGCGATGCGGTGTGCGAGGGTGCAACAGCGGGTAGTGGCGGTGGCATCAGGGTGCCCCAGGGGCAGATCGACATGAATGGCCACCCGCAAGCATCCCCTTCGCACGAAGAGCAACGCATCTGGACCCCAGGGGGGACCTTTGCCCCATTTTTAACTAGCCCTGACACACAGGAATCCAGCTGCCAGCAGCCGCCGCGCACCGCACCGGGAGGGGGCGGAAAGCCTCGAAACACCACCACCACCACCACCACCACCACGACTACTGCTCGCGCCGCTGCCGGCGCTGCCGCCCAGCACGTTCCTCAGCACGCCCAACACGTGTTGCAGCAGCATCCCCACGTCCTCCTGCAGCAGCACGGCCTGCACGCGGGCGGGGCCGCATCCAATGTCAGCAGCAGCCTGGTGGCGCTGCGCTGAGGACCTGGCAATCAAAACGTAGAAAGTAAGCAGAGCACCGACCTTGACAATGTATGGCAGCGGGAGTCATGGCGGCTGGGAAAAGAAAGCGCATTTCTTACTTACCGACTGCCATTACCTTTCCTTTCTATTTACCTAGTCCTTTGTCCTTCGTTCGCTCACTTCCTATGTGCCATTTCCCACGTCCCCACTCACTCACTCACTTGCTCACTCGCTCGCCCATTCACTAGCCCTCGCTTAAGCCACAAGCCCGTTGCTCCCACCTAGGGGCCACCTGGGGAAGGGGCACCTCGGCGGCTCCCTTACCTGAAGCTCGCGCTCCACAAAGGCCTGCACCTCCGGGTCGTCTGGCCGCCGTACCCTTGCAGCTGCCGCCGCCGCCACCGCTGCCACTCCTGCCCTCAGAGGAGCCGCTGGCTGTGCCACTGCCACGGTGGCGGCGGTGGCGGTGGCGGCACTCTGCGATCGGCGGTTGTCTTCCACAACGCCCTGCGGTATGGCAGGAACATGGGCACGGCGCGGCACTGCACGTGGCCTGAACCCCAGTCCGCCTCACCCCCGGTTGAGAGGGGATGGCAAGGGGTTGGGTGGAGGCTGGTGGTGACGAGACCACCGGGTAACCGGATCCTTACTTTCTGCTTTCTTTTCTCCCATGCATAAGGAGCTCCTTCAACGGCACGGTACGGGATCAGGATGTGTTGTGCTTTGTGGGTGAGCACGGAAATAGGGCCTTGGTGGTTTTACGGGATATAGCCGCAAAAGACACCATGATGTCAACGCTGCGTTTGGGGAGAGGAGGCCGGCCCCAGAAAAAAATGAGGCCCCTGTGCAGCGGGACCAGGATGTAGTAATTTGTAGAGACGTACCGGGGCTGAGCTGGGCCGCCCCGGTGCTAGCGTCTCGGAGGTAACAATCGAGCTGTCTTGCAAGTCTCCCTGCCCTGGCTCCGTAGACGCGTGTGCGCCCTCCAGGTGCTGCGGCTGCAGCTGCTGTTGGTGCCGCTGATCCTGTGGCTGTGGTGGCTGCTTGACGTAGAGAGCTCTTCGCCGGCGGTGGGCCGCTGACAGCGCCATGACGGTTCCGCGGCCGACTGTTGTGCGGGCCCGGCGCTGTGCCTCATCATCCACGAACTCAATCCTGAGCATAGGTCGGAGGAGCGATAGAAAGTGAAGCAGCCGAGGGAGGTCCTTTTTTGGAATCTCATATCGATGCGCTACGTTGGAAGGGGGAAGGTGACTAAAAGGTGGCGCGGCTATGGTAGGTCAAGCAACGACCAGGAGAGATTGTGAGGAGCCCGTGTCTATCTGAGTCTATTCTATTAAACATAAAGTTGTTTTACCAGCTACAGTATCTGCACCGCGGCATAGCATGGAGTCCTCGTGTCTGCACACAGAAGAATCGGCGGAAACGCTCCCAACTACCGGTACCGGAACTTGAACTAATGCCACGGGTCTTCCAGAGAAGCTTGCCTGAAAGACTTTAATACGCAATCATAGAGGATGTAATCATAGGGCTGCTTGCACATGGGACACCGATAATCGCGGCGACTTCCGCCCCTCCCGGTGGAGGTGTTCTCCGGGATAGGATGCTTTCGCTGCTGCACTGTCCACGCACTAATGCATTTATGGCAAAACCTATGGTAACAAGATGCGACGTATGCCTCATCCTCAACTGAAATTGGTTGGTAGCATATAGGGCAATCCATTCCTTTCGCATCATGTATTTGGTAATAGCTTATTGTGACATGCGGCATCTCAGAGAATGACGATGACCTAAACAGATAAAAACACAAGAGACAAGAGCAACGAAACGCCGTACACTACGCTTTCGTAGCCCTTGTATTCGCATCCTTGCTGCACTGCATGCAAGCGCCCTAGATATTCCTTCACATTTTATCTCTCTTAGGGTTGCTAATCAGATCACATTTTTGGTTGATCATGTGTCAGCAGTAGAAACTTCTGCACGCGCGCGCACACCTGCCACCCGCAGTGAAATGCAAAATGGCAGTAAACTCCATGGCCGTTATAGCACGCTACATGATGAAGATGATGATACTGTTGCTGCTCGCCTCTACCGGCACCGTGGATGCCGCTAAGCGGAGGCAGGCCCGCCCAGCACGGCGACAAATTGAGCCTCGCACAGGTATGCACACCGCTGCTATTGCTTCAATTTCCCAACGCGACACCAAATGGACTGCAACTTAACTCAGCGGCCAATCCTTGAAATATCCGCCTAGCACTCTGGCAAGTCCAAGGGGCAGCCCGAACTCCGCTACCGTACTCCGGCCCTCGTCTGCCCTGACCCTCGTACGACACTTTTATAACCTCACGGCCAGGTCCCACGGATGAGCAGGTTTGGGACACCGGCCTGATTGAGAAGGAGCTGTCGTACATCAACTTACTAGAGGTAACTGACTAGGCCATACTAGGGGTTAGAAAGCCTTCTCTGACACCACAGACGTATAAGGCCGCGCGGGCAGTACTGTTGACGCTGTGAATCCCGCAAATACGCGGGGTAGTCTGCATCCTTGTGCAGCAGCCTGGTACACCACGTCACGACCACCACCAGCGGCTCAAGCGGCATTGCTGCAATACAAGTCCAGCCCTAAATGCCGTACGCCGTTGTCGGGGACATCTCGGCGAGCCAGCCAGCTGCCATAACGACCACTATGTGGCTTCCGGATCTCTCTACGCCACTCCTCACCCTCCCCTTTCCCTCCTCCCGCCGCTTCCCCATCCCCATCCCCATCCCCATCCCCATCCCCATCCCCATCCCCATCCCCATCCCCATCCCCATCCCCATCCCCATCCCCATCCCCATCCCCATCCCCATCCCCATCCCCATCCCCATCCCCATCCCCATCCCCATCCCCATCCCCATCCCCATCCCCATCCCCATCCCCATCCCCATCCCCATCCCCATCCCCATCCTCATCCCCATCCCCATCCCCATCCCCATCCCCATCGCCATCGCCATCGCCATCGCCATCGCCATCCCCATCCCCATCCCCATCCCCATCCCCATCCCCATCCCCATCCCCATCCCCATCCCCATCCCCATCCCCATCCCCATCCCCATCCCCATCCCCACGCCCATCCCGAAGAGGGGTCGTGAGCACTATCAGGACACCGAGAGCAGGCGCTTCAAGAACTTTGTGCTGGGCTACGTGACCCCTTGGTGAGTGGTTTGGTGAGTAGCTGAGGGACTGGCTGGCTGGCTGGCTGGCTGGCTGGGCAACGGCACCCTGCGAGCCGCCAGACAAAGCTTTCGGCCATTGCCCGCGTCTGTGACACCTCACTCTGCAACAGCTCACTCAGCCTCATCCCGGGGCACCTCAATCAGTAAATGCAATTCCAATGCTCTGATACTTCCGATCCTATTCCGATCCTATTCCGATCCTATTCCGATCCTATTCCGATCCTATTCCGATCCTATTCCGATCCTATTCCGATCCTATTCCGATCCTATTCCGATCCTATTTCGATCCTATTCCGATCCTATTCCAATTCCTATTCCGACTCCGAAACCCGGGGCACCCAGGAACCGGGCCGGCTACACCAACGCCGTAACGTTCCGCCGCAAGCTGGACGCCGTGTCGCCTGTGTGGTTCCAAATTAGGCAACAGGAGGGCCAGAAGGCGCCGGACATCCTGGTGCGCCCGAGGTGGACAGACAGACAGACAGACTGACAGACAGACAGACACACTTGCTCTTTTCTCCTTGGCCTTGAGCCCCGGCCTGCCCTGCCCAGCCCTGCCCCAGGTCCCCCTGTTGTTGTTCTTGGGCCTCCCCCCACTGCTGCCCCCGCTGCCCCGCTCAGGGCGCGCACGAGGTCAACCAAACCTGGATCTCGGAACTCCGAAAAGTAAGATCCAGGAAATCCAGTAGGATCCAGCGGGCGGGACGGAAGCCAGCGTCCAGAGGATGCAGGATCCAGAATTAAAAAATCCTCTTGCGGGAGGGAGGGCTGTGAACCGGGTGTGTGAAGTCCGATGTCCGATGAGACGGCCCGCGGTGCTATGGGCGCGGTTCTCTGGTCTGGGGTTCAGTGTGAGGCAGGCGGGGCGGGAGGGACATTTAGGGCACTGATGTTGGAGTGAGGAGTATTTGGCGGTGGGAGTGGGAGTGGTGGTGGGTGGGAGTGGGGGTGGGAGTGGGAATGGGAGTGGTGGTGGGAGTGGGAGTGGTGGTGGGAGTGGGAGTGGTGGTGGGAGTGGGAGTGGTGGTGGGAGTGGGAGTGGTGGTGGGAATGGGAGTGGGAGTGGGAGCGGGAGGAGTTGTCATAGTAGTAGTAGGAGTTGGAGAGGGAGAGAGGTGTGGAGGTGCAGGTGGTCGGGGTAGCTGTCATCCCGCTCCCCACAATGCAGTTAGCTTTCGCCCTCAGCACGTTTCCATCCTTTTCAGAGGTAAATGTTTTTTGTTTTTGAATGTCTGCATTCATGAATATTTTTGTTTTTTCTTTGTTTGGTGTCCTTTCTATGTCAACCCAATCCCAATGGGTTTGTTGGCCTGAAATAGCCTAACTGAAAAGCCCCCCGGGGCTCCCCGCCCCGCAAACCCCCGCTTGTCTTACCTTGGTGGTGTTTCCTGCTGGTGGTTGTGGTGGTTGTGGTGGTTGGTGGTTCCAGGGGCCCGGGGCTCCTCTAGTGGTCCCCAGGTTTATCGTGGAGGCGGAGCCGCTGCAGCACGTAGAGATGCTCCAGAACCCGACTGCCCTATTGGAGGCCATTGGCAATACGGTTTCGGAGCACGGTTTTGACGGACTGGTAGGTGAGCCTCCTTGGCCTCCCACCGATCGGTCATCTACCCCTCCGTCCCTCGTTTCCCCCCCCCCTTTCGACTCAACATCAATCCCCCAGAAACAGGGGACAGGGACACCCTCCACTCCTTCAACATCTTCGAAATCCATCGTCTGGCCCATAAGCCCCATTCTGTTCATTTGCTCACGTTCGTACAGCATTTCGTTTTGTCCAACTCCTTAATTACTACT